ACAGGCTGCCCAGAGAGGTTGTGGAGTCTCCCACTCTGGAGACATTCAAAACCCACCTGGACGCTGTCCTGTGCAATCTGTTGTAGGTGACCCTGCTCTGGCGGGGGGGTTGGACTAGATGATCTCCAGAGGTCCCTTCCAACCCTAACCATTCTGTGATTCTGTGATCTACTTAACTTATTATTGTCATAAAAACCCTAAAAGGACTACTTTTTCCTAGTTGCACACAGCTTCACCTTATATTACAATAACATGACTATAGATTTTTACAGTTATGCAAGTTAAAGACATTTATATGTAGATGTTAAAGGGCAACAGCAGATTTTTTGCATACACGGAATAACTGGGAATTATCAATGACAAACGTCATATTCCAAGGTATGAAAATCTTAATCAATTTTACTACAGACAGATTTCTGTTAAATTTTCAATTCCCACAACATGCTTATTCTACTATACTAACCCCTTTGATACTCCAGCTCTGTCATTTACTATCTTCACTTCTTTCACACTGCCATACTGAGCAAAAAACTTCCTCAGATCATTTTCATTAGTCTAGTACAGTAAATCAAGAGGAGGGGGAAAAAGACAAAAGTTGGTTTGCATACTTATTCAAAGAATATTTACCATAAGACTTTTAATGGATATACTTTGGATAAAGTTTGCTACAGACTACTTGGATAGGAAGACAGGAGCATGCATGAGCCTCATAGCAAGAAAACAGCATCCTTTTTTAATTACTGCTAGAAAGCCACTAAAAATATTAAAATTCCTTTTTTACTGGATTTACGTAACAACTGTCCCTTTACATGCAAGGTCACAGAAGCAGGTTTACTAGATCTGAAATTTAGTTTCTGCCAGCTATGTACTACAGTGCTGTTTACAATATGAAATATCACTGCAATGTTTTCAAACTTCAAAACAGCAGAGCATGTAGGCTTCCATAAAGGATGTGCATAGGTCACGTATGAAAAAAAATCCCCACTAAACCACAGTGACTTACTGGTCTAATCCATCTAATGTACCACGACCCCTCTTTTTAAAGTAGGTTTAATGTAAGACTCCGCAAGTATGTATAGGAACACCACTGAAACTCTCCATTATACATTAAGTAGCATAAGGTCCTTTCAATGGAGAACGGTCTAAATCCACTTGGAGGAAACTGTTCCCTTTGAGTATGCATGGAGAAAGACAAGTTCCTAATATAAAGGCACACCTAAGCTACATGAACACTCATCTACCTTCTGTGAATCAGTTTTCTTTTAAAATGTAAGCATGTATCAAATATGGTACCCTAAACACCACATTTCAGATTCAAAATTTCATTCTACATGGTCCATAGTTAAAACTATACCTAATGCTGGAAGAAGTATGCTTGTATGCACGGATCTCTGTATACTTGAAGCAACTTCTACAGTCACCTATACTTTTCGTTATTTTAAGGATGTATATCAGAAGTACTATTTTACCTCTAAGTGAATGACTTATTGTTTTTAAAACAGTAAGTATGCAATTAAGCCTTAGTGCAGAAGAAGATGTGCTAATCTGCCTCATCTAAATTTGAGAAGTAAAAAAAGATCTTAAAACAAACAAAAACTAATTTAAACAACCTTAATGTCTGGAAAGAATATGAAGTTAATGCTCTTTTTGAACAATTCTATCCTCAAGACACATTGTATAAAGAGAAATAATTCAGCTTGCTTGCTACAACCTCCAAGTCCAGCAGAAAGCAATGACGGTAGAAGACTGCTTTATCTCCCTCACTAATCTAAGTATTCAGGCATTAAAATATCGGGAAATATTCAGTCACTCCAAAAGTGCGAGTAGTAACAGATACGAGTGCACTGAACAGGGATTAAATGCTTCAATGTTCTATTAAAGTTCAGTCATTGTGTCCTCTCCTTGGAAACTACCTGCACTGGCTCTTGAGAAACTACCCACCATGAAAAGGTTAAAAAATTTCTGACTGGAGTCCAGAACCACGCTCTTGAATAGGTGATCACGTTTTGTGCCTAAACAGAAGTGCGAAAGCCTGTGTAAATAGGAAAACAGATTCACCCAAACAACTGATAGCTTATATAAAATAATTCTACAGCACATGCTAAAGTGTTCTCACATTCTTGAGTAACAAAAAGCACATACAAAGTACAAAAGACTCATAGTGGAGATTTTCCTTTCCCTTAAAATTTTCTCCAATGAACACCAAAATGTACCTGCTTAGAAATGAATTTTATCTATAGATAAACTTCCCATTTCTGGGAGATTGTTTAAGTTCCAGATGCAGCTCAACTTCTTCACAAAGCTGAGAAAAAGAACCTATAAAAAAAAATAGTTGAAGGCTAAAATGCACCAAGAAAAAAAAAAAAGAGTCCTAAACATTGATCTGCCCTGAAAGTGTCATTCAATATCTCAAGGACATGAAGCACGGCTACACAAGACTACAAACTTGGAGAACCAAAGGTTTATCTGCAGAGCAGTGTATTGAAGGGGAATAAGAAGAAAACACTATTCTAAGATTCACAGTGAAATCTGCAAAATCTCGACAAATATGGTATCTAGAACCTTGCCAGAAACACACTCAGGACTTGCCTTTTCCTGCTCATGACAGGACAAAGGCACTTGTCAGATTCTTAAGAAAAGCCTTCACCTATGTCTAAGATACACAGTATACACCACTGAAGAAATGGCTCTTCAGACCAGTATGAAGATGTTCCCAACTAACATCTCTTACTTAATTTCTCTAAATTTAAAGAGGTCAGATGCTTCCTCTTACAAATAGGAATCACTGCTATGGTGACAGACCAATTGGAAGTATCTGGCAAAATGATAAAAGAAGAGTTTGCTGGAAAGCAAATATTTTTTTATTGATTAAGTGTCTCACTCTTTCACAAAAATAAATAGCTTTTTACCCACCCCCCGCTCCCACCCCTCCAGCTGACTGGAATAAGACCTGTGGTGGAAAAAAACCCCAATTAATACCCAGTGCTTTTTGCCATAAGATTTCCAATTAAAAAACCCAAACACAACACATCCAAGACTGACATATATATCCTACAATTTGAACAGAAATTTAAAGCTCTACTTGATATCAAGAGTCACAGGTAAATGGAAGAGTAGCTAAAATCTCTACAGAGATTTCATCCCTTGTATTTCCTTTCCCAGTGAAATCCATCTTCTTTATGTTTATAGATACAAATACACTTAATTCTTCTGTTGTGGAAATTAAAATTCCCAATAGATTTTGACCTATCAGTAACTGAAGCAAAGAGTCAAGTGACCCTTCAAAATGAACAATAAATACGACAATTAACAAGAATAATTCTATACTATGCAGGAGAGTGTTTTAACCTTTGAAACTGCAGTGAAGAAAGAACAGAGTGAGACAAGTCTTTTTACTTGCAGTGAAGAACAGAGTGAGACAAGTCTTTTTACAGTTCCAGTAATTTGCTTACTATTAATGCAAAAAGCTACTGCACCTCCTTGCTAAAGCCCAAAACATACAACAACTCAAATGGAGGCGTCATAATTCAAGAGATATGAGACAAATGAGCCAGAAGATCCTGGAGTTTCTTGTACTTATTATGTAAAATAGGGTAAGTGAATTGTCATTCTTCCTCCTCTTCATCTGAGTCAGTGCTCAAAAGGTCCTCAGCCTAGGAGGATTAAGGCAGAGAAGATACTGTTGGCAGAAACAAAGAAATAGCTAAGTAGACCAACAATGTTTTGCAGAAGTAAATGACTTAGTATATTATCTAAAGTGGCAAGAATGCAAAATGAGAGTAGCTGGTATAAATATCTGGTACATATCTGGGTACAAATGTTCAAAAGGACTGAAGGGTTCAAGAAGAATGGTTCAACATTCACTGCTACTTGAGAGGTTTAGGGCATATGCAAAGGCACAAGCATTCTAAGAATTAAGATCAGTATTGCAAATTGCCCAGAGAAGCTTTAGTATTTGTTTTAAAACAAACACTTGCTTTTAAGAAAATTCCTATAGTAAGCGAGGAATACCAGCACTGCAGCTCCTTTGTATGAAATAGAAGAAAAGCACTAGAGGAACTGAAGCTACTGACATTTGCTCTGTTTGCAACCTATAGTGTTGTGTGTATGGTTTATTAAATTACACTAAAGGTTATACATAATAAAAAGACTTATACATACTTTTCTCCCATAAGCTCTGCTGATTACAAATGCCACTTTCTTTGAAAAGAGGAAATTCTGAAGAACCAGTACGCCAAAGGCTTCTAGCAGCTAGGTGTACAAAGAGTCAATTTTATAGTACAGTTATGTAAATCAAGGCTTAAAGCTCTATTTTTACTGTTGATGTGAATGTTACAGTGAAGGGTACTTACCACCTAAGCAAACACACATGATTACATCTCACCTTTTTTCCTACTGATTTTTTAGTGTTATAAATTATCATTTAGTAGTAAAATTAGGGAAAAAAATACCTTAAAATCAATTCCTCCTACAAAGATGCGATTTGGAGTAACTGTTCCAAACCTTGGAGTACTGGTCAGGTTATTTAATGGCACCGGTGACACAGTGTTGGGAGATGAAGATAGAGATTCTGTTTGCGTCTGATTTGTGGTCTGCTGATTGAAAGAAAATATTTTCAAGTATTTTCAATATCTTACATGTTATAAGCTATTAAAAAAAATCTCAACAGAAAATACATACAGAATTTTTTAGGAGGCACGGAAAGGGCTAAACAACTGAATGTTAACAACGTATTTTTTTTTATTCAGAATGCAGCTCAGCAAAGTATTTAAAAATAAGCTTAATTTTAAGCAATTCAGTAACTTAGTGAATACACTATGGTCTGCAGTTTTACTTTTATTTTAATACCTTTCCGAATTAGACATTTAGTGCCTAATCCCCCAATCGTAGTTTTTCTGTTTGCACAGCACCCTGCTGCATGAACCCCAAATTACAATTCTATTTCAAAGACTGACACCTATTAGAAGTCCCTGAGTTTAAGCCTATAGAGAAAGGACCTTTTCAACTCAACCTGCAATCACACACATCCACAAAACTAAAACTCTCCTCTCTACATCAGCTTCTGCTTGATTTTCCACCACATAAAATCAACAAGCTCATTACAACTGATGAGAACAGCGCTTGAAGACTAGTCTTTTAATTCAACACTCTCTTGGCCTACAAACACAGCAATCCTAACAGAAATTCTCTCTGCAAAAGTAGAGCCAGATTGCTGTTGCCTCAGTAAAAGAAAGAAGCACAGTACAGGGGGAACTTCATGGAAACTATTATTTAGTGAAGTCTGCCCTATGTTTTAGCTTCCACCATGCTTACACCCGTGAACTGTGAAACAATACAGTCTTGCATTTCATTGGAAATTCTGTTCAGAACAAACTAATACTGCCTTACCTTGTCACCTCTAACTGAGATGATAGCTGTAAAGCAGCCACGTAGTACTGCCACTAACTTCTCTAATGGGAATTGCAGTAGAGACTTCAAGACCGTTTTGGCTGCAGTCTCCCTGCCCTTCCCAACGAAAGTTTACTAAAACCAATCCCAGGCTATAGTGCCCTGACAGTACCACTAAGAAAAGAGCCCAAAGTGAAAGACAAGCTGCTACTGCAGATAACAAGACTAACAGTGAGCAGACTAGTGAAAACTAGAAGTAGGAATCTGGGGGGTGCCAGCCTCCAGCCTTTCTTTTGAAATGATTTCGAGAGAAAAGTATTTTTTCTTACCATTGTGCAACCCTTAAAATGTGTAGTGAGGACCAACACAATGCAAGCATATTTTAGAAACAGAAAGCTACTGCATCTGGTAGAAAGTTACTTCTCTTCTTGCAGTATCTGCATCTTCTAGACTCTCCAAAACTAAAGCAGGAAATCAAGTGCTCCTGAACAGTTCTCATCACAGAATCCCCCTTTCATCTATGCTGCTGTTTTACTTCCTGGTTTTGCATCTCTCACTTATTCACAGGACAGTATTTTGTCCACATGGACAGCATTTTCTTATGGCCGCCTTTAAGCATTCCTGGACAAAAGAAAAGTCCCTTATCTTCGGAAGAAGACACAAAAAATGAAGACTGGCAGTTAAAGTGCAGTGAGAAATGGAAGATCAATAATGAAGAAGGTTAGCAAAAAGGTTGTCTTTTTGTTTGCCCTGCAAGGCCTTCTAGGATTATTTGACATTTCCTTAGCTACCTGAGAACTAGTCCTATTAATTCTGAGTAATACCTTAATGCCATTGTTTTGGATACCTTGAAGACAATAAATCCAGTTTAGTCCATGTCTTTATAGTTTCAGGGAAAACAAAAATCCTTTCCAAACTTACTAAAACACAAATTGGGGCTAAGGAAAAAACATGTCTTTAACCTCATCTATTCAGGAGAAAGCATGCATTCCTTCTTCAGGGAATACTACCCTAGAGTAGCACCTAACCTAAAAAAAAAAAGCCAACCCTATACTCCCAAAGGCTTTAGAAGGAGGAACGTTTTCTGCCAAGAACAACTTTTGAAGGATGATGAAACAGGTTACTTTGTTCCTCTCTCACACCAAATACAAAACTCTACTTGTATGATCAACTGGCAATTGTGTACAGCACCAAAATATCTGAATTTAACTATAAAGTAGCAATTAACAGTTGACACCACAGCCAAAACGTGTTTCTTATCTCAAAGACCTCAAATTTCATTTTCTCCACATAAGTTTTAAGAGTCGTAAGTCTTCTTAAGAAACCACCAAAACCCCAAATGGAAGAATTGAGGAATTAAACACATCACTTATGAACTCCCAATACAATAAACCCCAATGAATTTTAAAACATTAAAATCTGTATTCTGATGGCTATCTCAACATAATTTCCTCTCTAATGCCAGGGTAACAGCAAGAAAACAGTATTAAAAGAAGATCTATGCACTAACAGCATGTCACTTGCCTAACTGTCTCTGTTTCTAAAGGTTTTTAAACTCTTTTTTTATCATTTCTTTTTCAAACAGTATGGATCTCTACATTCATCCATATTTTTATGGGTTATGTAGTGTGTTTGACAACTGCTCTTTACCAGAATTGGGTTTTTTTATTTTATTTTTATGTTGAACACATCTACGGTCAAACAACCAAGCACAACAAAGGCTTGGTGATGAATCCCACCTTACTCCGTAAGCGACCTTTTTTTTTTTTTTTTTTTTTAAACAGTCTGTGTCCCATAACGTCAGAAATCAGACACCCATCTTTCCCCGGTACCACACACCGCCAGACCCGAGGCAAGGGGAGCG